ACTTCCGTCGAGAAATAACTACACGTACAAGCTTTACTTGTCACTCTACAATAATGTAGCTTGACAGTCTCTGCCTTTCTAACTGTTATATTAATTATTATAAATGATCATGTTTGTACTTTTTTATCACTTGGAATTGTACTTGCCAATTTGGACCCAACAATCGCAGGGGTTGGTGAGACAAATTTCGACAATGCAACCCCGACAATGCAATTTCTCGAACATGCAACTCACTCCTCCAATTTTACATTACTTAACCCCCCGACCTCCTCGCCTATTTGACCAGAACTGTTGCAGGAAGCTGCGATCGAACCCATACCTCGCTGCTACAATCTTGGTACTCTAAACTATTACCACTGGTTTGGCAAATATTTTATAGCGTACAAATGCATATTTCCGTACTATCGCCGCGTACTACCACGTACAATATATACACCGTATTAAGCCGGACCAAAACGTATTACAACGACCTCTTTACATGAGCTAAACCACCAATACATCACATCGGCCGTTGCAATGTAGCATTAGAAGCAATTTGTTTTGCTCATTGCGCTTACATAGTTATGAATGCTTACATAGTTTAAGGTACGAATTAAATACTGTGACCAGGTTAATGGGGTGAGGAAACACTTGCAAGAAGGCCTCCCGCAGTCCCGCCTGCCTTTCTTGGTGAGCGCTCGGCTGTCATGGATCAAGTCCCTCCACAATATTGTAATAATTTCTTCAGCACCTTTCTTCACTACAGAAATGATTATAAGGACAACTTCTCGAATTGAATCGCGGTAAGCGGTAATGAGTCGAAAGGTTAAAACAACAGTAATTCATATGGACTCAATTGAGTAAGTTTTCCTCACCTGTAAAGAATATAATGATCGATGATTCAGTGATCGATAACTTAATTATTTGAATATTTGCAATACTGCACGCTAGCAGTCGCAGTACGTTCGGGTGATGTGTTACTTGTACAATTACGCAATTGTACGCCAAGCAGAAGACGATTTTTGTGTTTAATATTGCAATCTAGCGTTATGATTATTCTGGATATTGAATACTATCGTTGTTTACAGTTGAGCAGGCAACCATACTTTCGAAAAATGCAGATGAAATCTACAACGAACAATTTCTTAGAGTTCTTTCTTTTTATGTTCAGTTGTCTTTTTTCGTAACTTAGGTTTTGATCTCTTAAGTTTAATTTGGATTATCCCTGCTCCTCGAATAAGGCATTTCCATGATCAGTTACAACTCAGCATGAACGCGTCATGTATAGAATTTCTCCCGCTTCCTAGAAATATCAGAATCAATAATGTTCTATCATAAGAACATACGTAAAATTGGGTGGCAAATACCCTGCTTAGATATACATGCACGTTTAGACATCTACTCCTTAAACCTGCGATCTCATGCAGGAACAGCAATTGGAGATCTAAATGTGTTTCATATTTAATTTATTCATCGTAAACTGTGAAACTTTATAGATTATAAGCCTAACTGAATATCGTCAGCTATTGCAGATTTAGTTTTCTTGTTTCAATCGTCTTCTGAGGTCACTTTACTATTTGCCCGCATGATAAGCACATTAACAAGGTCCCGTGTTTACAGCCCATCAGCTTTTCTTGAAAATTTACTAATAGTTTGCGAAAATTTTCATGTTATTATGAGGCAAATTGTATGCAAAGCAATCCTTAAACATTTTCATACAATTAAATTTGGAATAATGCTGTCGCATTTTCTATAGAAAATAACATGGTGAAGAAACCGCCACAATTAAAAATTCTTTATTTGTCCTCGAACTGTAAACAGCAAAAAATAGGGTTGGTAATTTGAATTTTTCATTATTGTGAGTTTCTTAATCACGTTTTATACTCTTAATTATCTTAACATTTTTTCAGGATTTAGTGATAATTCACATTTTTTGTGGTGAGACAATAATTTTTTTTGTGAACACGGCAACCATTGAATATTCTTGAAGAAAGTAGAAGTGTAGGTCAATAAATATGAGCGACATTTTACGGAGAAAACCGCAGTTTTTAGCAGTTTATTTGTCTTTGCTATACGAAAATCTACCTCTATATAGGCTGCACCTCGCAGATCTAAAGAGGCTGCGCCTCGCAGATCTAAAGAGGCTGCGCCTCGCAGATCACACGCCTCGTGTTGGAGCACAGCGTGTTGGAGAATCGGTATCTCCACAGAGAGCTCAGCTCCAGGCAGTTCTCCACGCCGGGATTGTCGGGTTCTGAAGCGCCTACACCAACCTGGAGGGAGAAATCAACAACGGGTGAAAAATTCTTACAACAAAGCATTTGTTTAGATTGTTTGGTGTTGCTTCATTAGGGACTATTTCAAACATACAGAACGTTGTTAAGGATATTTTTTCAATTTATAAATTGAAACAAGCTATGAAATCATTAACATCAGTTTATAGACAAATTCCTTGTAGCGCTAACATCACGCTACTAAATTAAAGATAAACGGATTAAAACAAACAATTAATTGAAGAAAATGTGGGATTTCTTGGCCACGGGATTTAGATATATCTAAAAAAATAAAAATTTAAAATCGGGAAATCAGTCAAGGTGGTCCGCTCCTTATTCAAGAATCAATTTAAAAGGTAACATGAGCTTCAATATTCATTTGAAACTTCTTGATGTGTGTCAAAATTCTGCGCAACAATTGCAAGATGCAGAAGTCCTGCGGCGACTGCATATATATTGTCCACAACGACGTAATGAAAGACTCAATAAATTAACGTTGTTGATTTGACGCCAAGTTATCGTCTCTGCCGAAACCTGAGACATTGACAAGGTTTAGGTGCAGTGTCCCTAACCTGACTCCGATTGACAAGGCTTATGTGCGAAATTCTTAACTTTACTTTAGTCTAATCGACAAGGGTGCAGTATGCCTAACCCTGGATCCGATTGACAAGAATTAGGTGCTGTATTCCTAACCTTGAATGTGAGGTAACGATGCCACCTGTCAGGCGTCTCATTCTAATATATTATAATATTAGAGAAACTGCTATGAAGACGCAATTTTCGTCAGACGCGGTAGACATTGATGGAATGGGAGAAACTTAATTATTATACAACATCACGTGAGCGAAGTCCCTCCCACGAGTGGGCGAAAGTACCATAGGTTTAAGTAATAAAAGTACCGGTGTGGGCACTCATGTAAGACAGGCTCAGTACAGCTGCCAAGACCGCAGTAATGCGTAGTGTTCACTGCAATGGGAGTGAGTCGGCCGGACGGTCGTAGGTGATTGCTGTTCCACCATCAGAATCGTTCCTATACGACAATTTTGTTACTTATACCACCCCTTATCAGGTGTAAGATAAAGGGCGTCCTTGCTTATCCTTCCAAGTAGACGAAGAATCTTGTCTCAGCTTAATTGTCTTCTTTATGTTTTAATCTGGGTGGCAGCTTAACATTGCCGTGGGAAGTAGCTGTTTGTTATTGTCTCCTGACTAACCCATTAACCAAACGTGAATAGCGTTATTGCCTTGACTTGCATCAGTTTTGATTCCACAATTTTTACTTGACATATATTCAGAGTTACCTAAAAAGATAACTCATCCATTTTCTAAATTTTAAACTAAAAAATGCAGTGCGACGGGTCCATCCACATTTCTGAAATAGACTTTTTCTTCAATTCCGTCACTTTGCTCAGTGCTGGGTCTCCTGAATAAATTTGTCGACCCTATTCTCCCACACTGAGCAGGTGAGCTTATAAGCGTAGGGCAATATTTGTGTCTTTGTGTATCTTAGGATAAAACTATGGATGTTTGCATTTATGCTTGGAAAATAGAACTAAGTGAAGACAAATAAATATAATTGCATCGACATTAATTTGGGCTTGTATCTTGAGCAGGTCAGATCTTTAGGACTGAACCTTGTCTCACGAGTTCACTTACCTATTTATATTCACTTTGTACCATTATCCATTATACTCCCTCGTACCCTGTCTACTTTAAGCCTGTAACATTTACCGTAGTTTATAAATGCGACCTGCCTACTTGAATTTGATTTGCATACCCCCCTAAATATAATTTCGAACCAACGTTCCCTGACATGCAGCTAATTAACTCATCACATTTCATATGATAACTGTATCTCACATTTGCCCAGTATGGCAGCCCCATTGCCATTGTAGAACCGTCAATCCAGCGCCATTACCCTTCCAATGCCCTATCGGAGCCACCGATCCAATATCCATCAGGGTTATTGCCTGGAAATATGAAAACACATGAAAATATAACAAAAAATGGAATTGAAACACCGCATAAAAACAACTAGCAATTTAGCTCGGCGTTGCCTGGGATCGATAAACAATCCTTGCAATTTTAGACTAGTTACCCCGGCTCTCGTCAGTAATAGTATCACTAATGAACGCAAATTAACAAAGAACCTGCTAAAATTCACAATACACATTTCAGATGAAACATCCAGCTAACAGTTTTCTCTTGTTTCAAAATGCGCTGCACTTTCTTCATTTGTCTTCTAAATCCTGTATATATTTTTACAAGTATTCATGATTGTGTTCGAAGCTTGGCAAAGCAGTATACAGGGGCTGTTGAGGCGCGTATCCAGGAAACTTATCATATCGGGATATTGTATATCGGGGCTGTTGGGGCGCGTATCCAGGAAACTTATCATATCGACCTTAAACTATTTGTACAGTGATAACATTATCTTTACATTGTTGAGTAGTGCGCAAGTGAATCATGGGAATGCAACACAGCTAAATATGTATAGGTTCAAGAAGTGTAGAGCTCCTCTCAGTTGTATCTCATGATGATGTACATTGCTTTATCAGAATGAAGTTGGTCTGAAGAAATTCAAAATTTTAGGTAAGATACTTTCAGGCAAAACGCAGAAATAAATTTTATGGATGTTTACCTTGATTGTTGAGGAACGAGGTGACTTTGCTGTACTGGTAGCAGTCATCTAGAATTACCAGATCTCCTCCAGTCGCTCCACACGAGGTGCGCGCCTCGCTCCAGCTACTATATATAATCGGTCAGAAGTAAGTGAATGCATTGTGTGCCCACCAAGATGTACGGAGTGGCACATAAACCTGCCGGTATAACGAAAAGTTCTTGGTGTGTCGAACAAAATGTAAATCCGACAAAATGATAATCGTGGTCATAAATAGAAACATAAATTTTGTAAGCATTATATTGATTTTTAACGATAACTTTTCCACCTATGGAGGTTATGTCAAAAACTTAGTTATAAATAATGCCATTAAGTCGAGTGAAGAATTTATTGACGTAAGCATATGTAGACTTGTTCTAACAAACTGAAATAAATATTGAAACCGGCTGTTTAAAACAATTGTATTCTTAACCCAGGCATGAAATCAGCATCGAGAATCATTTTTAAACTAAAATGTGCCAGCCGCTTCAGGTTATCTATTTGTTCTTTCTCAAAGAGACACTGTTTTGGGAAAAGCACTCACCATCCGTTGGAGTTCTGGAGCACACAGCGTAAATGACGTAGTTTGATGAGGTACATCAAGGAGACACTGTTTTGAGAAAAGCACTCATCACCATCCGTTGGGGTTCTTGAGCACACAGCGTAAATGACGTAGTCTGATGAGGTACATCAAGGAGACACTGTTTTGAGAAAAGCACTCACCATCCGTTGGGGTTCTTGAGCACACAGCGTAAATGACGTAGTCTGATGAGGTACAACTCAAGTCATTGAGCAGCCAGCCCCTGGTGGTGCCTATCGTGGCGCAGTTTTCGCCGTCAATGGCATTGTTGGGCTCTGTTCTCCCATCAGATGCAGTATTCTGTAGTGTAGTATTCTGTATACTCAACACTAATTCTATTTTTAAATCATTCAGGCACTCAAATCCGGTATTACTGACGAAAGTACGGGCAAATTTGAAGCTATGCCACGTTATCTTATTATACTTATTTTGACAGTATTTCTGAGATCAGCTCAGTCGTTAATTCTGCAATATTGATATCATAGTGGTCGCAAAAATATGAAAATGGAAAAATAGATAAAAGGTAAAATTGTGCTATTTTGCATCCTCATGTTCTGTGACTTTGACTTGCTTCAAAGCTTGGCTTTTCTTCATGTCTTGTCCTAATTTCATGTATTTTGTATCACACATAAACAGATTACATCGTATTCATAAAAAGCATTAAGTAACTCACGACCGCCCAGTACGGAGCGCCCATCTGCACGGCGCTGCCGTCGTTCCACTGCCAGACGCCGGTAGCCGACGAGTTGGTGGCACCTAGCCAGTAGCCGTTGATGGTGTCCGCTGAGTCTGATAGAATATATAGGTTAGCAGGAGATACTTAGCAATCCAGACTTGAAGAAGAGGTGGGTACGGTTGGTGGCGCCTAGCCAATAGCAGTTGATGGCGTCCGTTGAGTCTGATAGAATACACGGGTTAACAGGAGATGCTTAGCAATCCAGACTTGAAGAAGAGGTGGGTACGGTGTATTGCATTTAAACTCATCACACTATCGATGCCGATTGGGATATCATAGAATAGGGGCTGAACACTTGAGTGCCTAGTGAAGCTTCGAAGGTTATTAATGCAATACCCAGTTTCTATTGATTGATGGTTGATATTTATGTTAATATTGAAGGTTGCTATTGAAAATTGATATTGTTAAAAATAATAAAAAGATTTACTTAAAATATGCTACTTCATTCAGTCAAATTACACAGTGCCTTTTTATATGAAGGAGGTCTTGATGAGAAAGTTGAGAAAGACCTATTTAATTTAACATTGGAGTAATTATTAGGTTGAATTTTCCATGACATTATAATCTCACATCCACCGTCGACATAAGTAGCAACATCAGTGAAGGAAGCGCAGTCTGGCAGCACGGGCAGCCTGCCGAAGTTGTGGTAGCAGTAAGTGACCGCGTCGTCGTGCGTGAGGTAACCACCAGCCAGGCGGTGGATGCACTTGGACCCAACGACCTCGTAGCCAGCGGGGCACTCGATTGCCGCTGCGCCTGTCATATTCAACCAGAAATTTGATATCACAATAAATACCGAATTTTCGGGAAATATGGCGGATTGATTTAGAATTGTATGAACGAGACAGTTTTATTTTTTATGAAAGCTACAAAAACCACACAAAAAATTCACAAGCAAAGAAAAGAATAAATTCTTCATGGTAAAAAAATGAATTGCTAAATAGACTCTAAAATTGCTTAGACATGTATGAAAAGAGCTTGATTTAGATTTAATAAGAGCAGAAGAAAATTTTGGTCTTCTATATAATTTCAATAAGTTGAACCATTTAAATTTGACGTACCTCAGCAAATATTAATTCTCACGAGCTTGTACAGGTGCCAAAAGAAGCTATTTTCTTGAAATACTTTCACGTGTTTTCCATCTTGTCTGCTAATGATCAATTAAGAAATATTAACCAATGTTCCAAATTCTCTAATCGTCTAAATTTTTCGCTTGTCCATGTACATTGTTCTTTTTTTCTCAAATTTGCTATGAATATTAATCAGAAGTGGACGCCAAGAAACTGAATGATCTTTCCACAGCTTCGTTAGTTGAGCCCAATAAAGTAAGTGTCAGTATTCATTTAATTGCAATAAAACCGAAAAAAACGAAACATGCCACCAAAATTGTCAAATCTTCGTCACTAAGAAATTCTAGCATCATAGTTAACGCCACGTCAACTGGAAATATACAACAGTGAAGCAATAACTCAAAGATATACTCATAATACAGGGGAGTACGTCCCAGGGCACGTAACATGACTATATGAAGGTTCGCATTTACAATAGCAGTTGATGGCGTCCGTTGAGTCTGATAGAATACATGGGTTAACAGGAGATGCTTAGCAATCCAGACTTGAAGAAGAGGTGGGTACGGTGTATTGCATTTAAACTCATCACACTATCGATGCCGATTGGGATATCATAGAATAGGGGCTGAACACTTGAGTGCCTAGTGAAGCTTCGAAGGATATTAATGCAATACCCAGTTTCTATTGATTGAGGTTGATATTTATGTTAATATTGAAGGTTCCTCTTGAAAATTGATATTGTTAAAAATAATAAAAAGATTTACTTAAAATATGCTACTTCATTCAGTCAAATTACACAGTGCCTTTTGATATGAAGGATGTATTGATGAGAAAATTGAGAAATACCTATTTAATTTACCACTAGAGTAATTATTACGTTTTATTCTCCATGAGAATAATCGCATCCATCATTGTATTCTAATCATTGTATTCTCCATGATAATCTCACATCCATCGTCGACATAAGTAGCAACATCAGTGAAGGAAGCGCAGTCTGGCAGCACGGGCAGCCTGCCGAAGTTCTGGTAGCAGTAAGTGACCGCGTCTTCGTGCGTGAGGTAACCACCAGCCAGGCAGTGGATGCACTTTGACCCAACGACCTCGTAGCCAGCGGGGCACTCGATTGCTGCTGCGCCTGTCATATTGAACGAGAAATTCGATATCACTATAAATACCTAATTTTCGGGAAATATGGCGGATTGATTTAGAATTGTATGAACGAGACAGTTTTATTTTTTATGAAAGCTAAAAAACACACAAAAAATTCACAAGCAAAGAAAAGAATAAATTCTTCAAGGTAAAAAAATGAATTGCTAAATATATAGACTCTAAAATTGCTTAGACATGTATGAAAAGAGCTTGATTTAGATTTAATAAGAGCAGAAGAAAATTTTGGTCTTCTATATAATTTCAATAAGTTGAACCATTTAAATTTGACGTACCTCAGCAAATATTAATTCTCACGAGCTTGTACAGGTGCCAAAAGAAGCTATTTTCTTGAAATACTTTCACGTGTTTTCCATCTTGTCTGCTAATGATCAATTAAGAAATATTAACCAATGTTCCAAATTCTCTAATCGTCTAAATTTTTCGCTTGTTCATGTACATTGTTCTTTTTTTCTCAAATTTGCTATGAATATTAATCAGAAGTGGACGCCAAGAAACTGAATGATCTTTCCACAGCTTCGTTAGTTGAGCCCAATAAAGTAAGTGTCAGTATTCATTTAATTGCAATAAAACCGAAAAAAACGAAACATGCCACCAAAATTGTCAAATCTTCGTCACTAAGAAATTCTAGCATCATAGTTAACGCCACGTCAACTGGAAATATACAACAGTGAAGCAATAACTCAAAGATATACTCATAATACAGGGGAGTACGTCCCAGGGCACGTAACATGACTATATGAAGGTTCGCATTTCATAGGAATGCGTGATACTCATTGCCTATGTGGACGATGCTCACTTGCGACAAGTAACAGCAGACAGACGACGAAGACGGTACTCACTTGCGACAAGTAACAGCAGACAGACGACGAAGACGGTACTCACCTGCGACAAGTAACAGCAGACAGACGACGAAGACGGTACTCACCTGCGACAAGTAACAGCAGACAGACGACGAAGACGGTACTCACCTGCGACGAACAGAAGCAGACAGAAGACTTCATTGAGACCCATAATTATGAATTTGCAAGTCGCGTAACCTGCGTACGAGTTCTACCGGACTGCCCGGCTTGCGAGGGAATATTTTTTATTTACTGACTTTGAGATAACGCGTTCTTGTGAGACAGTCTCGGGCATACTGAGAGTGAGCCTGATAGCCTGCTTTATTTATGGCACATTGATCGCCGTATTTAATCTATTAATTACACTGCATGTCACAAGGTTTTCACATGGCACGAGATATTCCGTCAGATTGCGTTTCTCAGAACATATTCACACCGTGAGAAGTTGCTGTCTTTCTCACAGCTGCTGTAGATTGCACGGCACATCGCCGTGTTAGGTACTTACACAACTAATACTCAAATATAAAAAATAATACAACACAAGGCCCTTCTCTGTATTTTAACTTGAATTATTGCGAAGTAACTTACCATTAACAATTTTATGGAATCGATGTTAAGGAAGTCGTGTGAGATGTACGCGGGAGTTTCATTGTAGAGGTCTTAAATTAAACGTTGTTTTATTGTTAGGTATAGGCTTTTATTTAATAAATGTGTCGTCAAGTTAGAATGAGTGTTAGAAGGTTTGAATTGTGGAATTGCAAGAATGTTTTAGAGAAAACTGAAACTGTGCTGGGAAAGTGCGGATAGAAAAAGGCAGCAGTAGGAACGCAGTCATGAAAGCATGCCTCTTGTTGTTCAACAAGCTTGTAAGTGGACTGAAACTAATAGATGCGCATTCGTTGTGCTGCAGTCTCATGTGTGAAGAAAACTTTTAATGTAAATGTAATGTCTTGCGCAAGAAAGTATTTTATTGTGACCGTAATTTAAATGAACATTGAACTTGCCACTTTACGCACGACATTATTTATATAATATTAACCTCTTGCATAAGAGTTTGAAGGACTTTTCATTAGCCATCTTGCTATTATTCCAGATGATAGCGAGATGCCTGTTTTTAAAGTGTGTATACCGTTATAACAGACAAAAAAGTTTTTTTAATAAATAATTTATGCACCTGAAATGTCTTAATTTACTCTACTTTTTCTACATAATTCCCATTAATATTGAGGCCATTGTCAGATCTCGAGACAAACTTCTGTATGCCTTCGTCGAAAAAAACTTGTCGGCTAATTAGACAATATGAATAGACAATTCCGTCTAAGGAAACTTTTCAGCTGAGGAAGAAATCATGAATCGTCTGTCCTATTTCACTTTACATTCCACTTTTTTAATCAAATCGCCGGTAATGACTGAAGGTCTCCCCCTGAAGGTTCCTTATCATGAATGTTTGAGCAGCCATCTTTGAAGGCCTTAACCCATTTCCGCACCATTCTATCACTTGTAGCGTTTTCACCATACATTTCTGATTTGGCAATGAATGTCAACTGACTTAAAGTCCTGAAAACAGCGAAACGCACGCATGTCGCAGTCCACCGGACTCTCATGTCAGGACATTTTAAGGGGAGCGTGTGAGTCAAAAAATCGAAAATGTTGGCTTCTCCGGTTTTTATGCTCATGTTAAAGCTGCAATTCTGACGCATCCAACGGTACTAAAATGGGGCGCATGCCGGAGGCCAGTTTTGCCAAACTTCACACTTAGTTCTTATTCTTTTCCATAGGTAAGAACGCTAGAGCGCATAATGGCCTATGAAGTCAAGTGCTCAAAGCCATGCATAGCACCGGATGTCCACTGCCACAAAATAAGATTGCCAAATATTAAGGTAAACATGGCCATACAGCATCTGGTCAAACATCCTCTGGCTTAACCTCTTCAAGCCTAACCTATACGAGCTACAACCTTTTTCCACCCAAAACTAACCTGAACGGACCTAATCCAAACTCATTGGCTGCAAGAAGTTAGAGAGGCGGTCCAAGTGTACTGGTAGAGCCAGTCATTGGCTGCAAGAAGATTGTTAACCGGGACAGCGTGAATAGGTTAGGCCAGAAGAGGTTAGGCCGGAGTAGGTACAGCCAGATGGGGAACTGCCTGCTTATGAGCGAGAATGCTTAAGGGAGCGCCTTGGTCCAAAATCTACAATTTTGGAGTTTCCGGTTTATAGTCTCATCTTAAAGCTGATATTCTGACCTACCCAACGGTACCAAAACCATCTCTGTACGTTGATTTATGCGTTCACGACAGATCACGAAGGGTGGGGGGATGTGGAGCCCCTTAACAAAACCCTATGAGAAAAATTCCGCCCGGGGTCTATAAATGTGCAGTCTGTGGCCTCGCAGCTCAGTCAGCCACGAGCTGTCATGCTGGAAGGTGTGCATGCAGTCGTTCTCTGCATCGCTGAGTGACGTCAGAGTGAAACAACGCTTACCTTTGGAATCCAAGCTACGTTATATACCTTTACATAGCACGCGAGCCGCCAGTCGGCGGTTTATCGGCTCTCCTGAAAAGTCGCAACTTTCATCTTAAAAATCTATCTCCTCCTATGATTTTCAAGCTACAGCAATGAGAGATATACCGTTCGATTCGCAAATTTATGGTCTGCAAAATGCTGTTTGTATTTTTTCCAATTTCGATATAGTTTGGATTATATTTTGCAAAAAGGGGGGTGGAGGGGGGAGAAATCGAAAAAATGACAAACCCCCCCCCCCAACCGCATAAATCTAAGTTTGGAAAAACGTGAAAGGTCTTTTTTAGATATGGTCTCTAAAAATCGAATGATACGTGTCTCGACGTTGTAGCATGATGTATGTAGGAGGAGAAAGATTTTTAAAGTACCCCCTTTTTTCCGTTTTCTATGAATTTCACGTTTTATTTATTTTTTTCGAAAAATTTACACGAACAATAAGTTCTTAGATTCCTGTTTTACATATGTGTACCAAGTTTCAAAGTGATCCGTCTGTAAATAAAAAAGTTTTCCGCGACCGAGACGATCCCCTTAAGCATTGGCTGAAGACATACGGCGCTATTATCTTTCGGCAGTGTGTTGCTTGTCTGAATTATGGAGCTCAAGCCTAGTCTGCGGCTTCTAGTTCTGAGGCTGAGTAAAGTTAATGCATGATGAAGCTAGGCGTTGGCTCCAGGGCTTACTTAAGAGTAAAATTTGTGGCTTACGGCTGCGCCTGCATTAAGATCATCTCTGTACGCTACTTTATGCGTTCACGACAGATCGCGAAAGGGTTACGTTGCGCAGAGCCTTCACAAATTATTGGGTCGCCTGCGGAAGACCACCACTGCCCTGGATGTAATGGACCATCATGATTCCTGCCTTCCGGAACGTAGTCTTCAACACTTCAAGCCGTCCGTATCTAGGCCCTGGGTCGAACCAGCCCACGGTCGAACGGCCACTTGCCGAAGGACGATAAATTTTGGAACAGAACTATGCTATCTGAAACCTAACCTTAGATGCGGTGAACGTAAAATTACGTAATTCAACGATGCCCGGAAGTCGATGCCCGGAAGTTCTATGCAAGGCGGAGGAGGACAAAAGCGAGTGGTTTATATATACAAACTTTATATACAGATGGGGTATATTATATGAGGTATATAATCAACCTTATATACAGATGAGGTATATTATATGAGGTATATAAATAACTTTAACATACAGATGAGGTATATTAAATGAGGTATATAATCAACTTTATATACAGATGAGGTATATTATATGAGATATATAATCAACCTTATATACAGATGAGGTATATTATATGAGGTATATAATCAACCTTATATGCAGATGAGGTATATTAAATGAGGTATATAATGAACCTCATATACAGATGAGGTATATTGTATGAGATATATAGTCAACTTTATATACAGATGAGGTATATTATATGAGGTATATAAATAACTTTATATACAGATGAGGTATATTAAATGAGGTATATAATCAACTTTATATACAGATGAGGTATATTAAATGAGGTATATAATCAACTTTATATACAGATGAGGTATATTATATGAGGTATATAATCAACTTTTTTTACAGATGAGGTATATTATATGAGTTATAAAAATTAGATCAGACACATGGTAAATTTTAATTACCTGCAATTTTAAATGTAAAACATTTACACATGCCAATAATTACGCAAATTGCGGATGGCAATGAATCGTACTGTAATTAAGTAATTGTTCGATTTCGTCAGTAAAGCTGCGTCCGTAATATAAGTGACAGCTAACTGAACGATGCGTCGTCAGCGATGCGTGGGTTATGGACATGATTATATAGACCATTTAGACAGAGTGCCCTATAGAAAATTAAATCTGCCTCGCAATGTTTGTGACAAACGGCATATACGATTGTGACAAAGTCGGTTATAATTATATGATTATACGATTGCGACATAATTATATGATTAAACGATTGTGACATAATTATATACGATTGTACCCCCACTGCCGCGGTGTCAAGATCACTGACGCCACAACTCGTCGGGGCGCGCGTGGCACTTGGTGTTCGGTTGCTAACAACCGACGCTACTAATCAATGTTTCCAGGCAAGGAGCCGCAAGCAACTTGACTTGGCACCATATAAGCGCTGAGATATATATGATATGACCATTTATTAACAGCACCATATGCTGGGTGAGAAATGATCTTTGAATGCATATACACATGGCCATTATCGACTTAAACTGGCAAACGATTGAGTGCCCGAAAACAAAATTAATTGGCATGAGATATTCGGTCCAATTTTTATAAATATATTATTAAATCTTGACTCCGACAGAAAAGTTTCCAGAAAAAATTAGTGTTCTCGATCAATGTGCATGGAGCTGCGTAAAGAAAGCATTCATATTTAGATAATTTTTAAAAGATTATTTAGAGATTAAATTAAATATTTATTGATAAAAAAAGTTACCACAAAAACAAACATGACTGTCCAACACATCGTCCACATTTCCTACTGCAAGGTTCAAGTTCTGCCGCTCATGGAGAAGTGGTAGAGTTTCCTCTCCGTCCTTCCTCTCATTTCGAGAGGAAGGACGGTTAGTCCTTCCTCTCGAAATGAAAGTTATTTCGGGCCGCAGCTAATACACTGATCCTATAAATAATCCTGTAGTAAATCCTTGTATCCTAGCAAGATTTTGGTATGTATTTTAAATCGGAATTTTGGATCTTGTTAAGAATATAAGCATTAAGCATTATATACGTAAGCATAAGCATGCGTATTCTTTATAAGAACATTACTGATGTTTGGATTCTTATCAAGGTTAATTGAAATATTAATACAAGCAAATTAGGTCTAATTAAATATTTTTTCAAGAATTACAAATCAATGTAGAAAATACATTGCGTTTTATTAACAAGTATGTACTAGGGTGCGTTTTTTTAACAAGCTCATACTGTGATACTTATTTACAACAAGGTCATACTGCAGTGCTTATTCCTAACAAAATCCGAAAATTTAAGTTACAAATCTTGAATGTATCCCATTTCTCTCACTTCATTGGACATTTATAATCGTTTGTGAAGAATTCTAGAACAGGTTGCATTCGTTAGGATAATGATTGATACGCGGGTTCTGTTGAATGCAACATTTTTTTATATATATTGCAAGAGTAGTACAAAAATTTCCACGAATATTAATCAGAAGACTAGATTAGCACACATCTCGCTTTATGAACTCAACAAGCAACTCATTTTGTCAGAAAGCGAAGGATTAAATGGCATGCCCAGGATTTCATTGTGTTTTGACGACTAATACTTTTTCGTAGCTGGTCTGTTTGAAAATTGGGACTGAAATCGTGTCAAATAAATATCCCCCTAAGATTTAAGATAATTCCGTACATAGGATATAGTGTCGTAAATTATTCACCTTGGATTGCAGATGTATAATGTATACTGTCATGAATTGAACGTAGAGTCGGTAATTTATTTCCTCTAGATTTTACAGCCAAAAGTTTTGTTTATGCTAATTATTTCTTATGGTAAAAGCCATCCTTTCCCTGTCAAAATTTTCGTGCCGATTAAGGTCGTTTTAGAGGAACTATATTCGGCTTAGGGGTGAATCAGGAGCACCCTGTCAAAATTTTCGTGCCGATTAAGGTCGTTTTAGAGGAACTATATTCGGCTTAGGGGTGAATCAGGAGCAAGTCGGCCACGTAGGGTGTTTTGCTTTTATTTACCAGCCTCTTTTGGAAAACAATTGCCCGGTAGGCCAAATCTGCGTAATATGCTTAAAAAGAGCAGCTGGTCAAGCTTCGTCATGATGCCCCTGGTCAAACGCTGATGACGCTATCGCACGATCGGGCTGATCAGTTGCTGAACAAGGTAAACGCACGAACAATCGAAGTTCCCGCCATACGGGGGTATGTGGGGGTCTACCTCCCGCACCCCCATCCGGACAGAGCATACCGTTGCAGC